TGCTTTATATTTGTGTCTTACATATGCAAAGAGTAAGAAATTTGAGTCATCCCCTTCATGTGTACATAAAAGACTAATAAATGTGCCTTTACTAACATGTAAAATGTGATTTTTAGATGATAAATATAAGTGAGCCTCAAAGATATAAATAAAGCATAGCCTTGTTCTGCTGCTAGGAAAGGTTGCCTAGGTGATTAGATAGATAATACAAGTGTCTTGGAGACTTCTTTGCCCTAGGGCCCAAGGCAGAATTTCTCAAGTCAACTGTTCCTTCTATCTACCTCTAGGTGATCTCCTTTGCAGGCTGAGAAGCACTCTGACTACTTCCAACCCATTTTTTGATATATGATATGACCTCTTTCAAAGAACAAAAAGCAATCATTTATTACAGAGTTATGCTTCTTTCTTTAAACATTACTGTCATAGTTGGAACCAACTGTAACTTGTGCCTATAAATGTCCCACAGGAGTAAGTTCACAAGTTCCCTGGGAAAATGAAATTGGGCACCAGTGTGAGGGTGGATAGGCTGGTCAGATTTTGTCTTCTGGTCTCTCTAGAGGGCATTCACCTGCCCTGGAGTGGAATCTATTCAACAGACACTTTGAAGGTATAGAAATTAAAGAGGATACACAAATTGTTTCTTTTTGCATTTCAGACATGGGGAGGGGCTCAATGTCAAAGTCTCTTACTCCTTTGGAATGCATTCTTAAGCACTGGAGGATATTTGACCCTTATATGTTGAAAAAGAACCATTTTTCTGCACATGCATGTGGCAAACCTACCCCCTAGAGCCAAAGGGAATGCGGAGGGAAATATTAATTATAATGCTATTTTACAGCTAGAATTGTACTGTAAAAAAAGGAAATGGTCAGAATTGTTTGATGTTGACTTTCTTTGCATTAAGAAATGGTCCCTAGAGCCGGGGATATAGCTTAGCAGCATAAGCGCTTGCCTGGCAAGCTTGAGGTCATGAGTTCAATTCCCGTACAAAAGAAAAGAAAAGAAAAGAAATCGTCCTTATTTGTGTTCGAAATGTAATTGTGAGCCTCGTGAGAACCAGACATCCACTATCCCTGAGGCCCTTAAGGCATCCACTATCCCTGAGCCTGAGACTATCCCACCTGAGGGACAAGATTTCTGAGGACAAGATTTCCAAGACAACCCTTAATCAGAGCCTCACTCTGTTACGAGTCTAAGGCTTCCTGTACTTGCCCTTCCGGTCCTGGGGGTAGGGCTTCTAGACCAGCTGTAATCCAAACCTCTACAGGACTACACCCATCCTTAGCTGAGTTTAGGCAAGCTCCTCAAGGACAGCATCCTTTATAGGAAGTAAACGGGCAATTTGGAACTTTCAGTGTTCACATCTTTTTTTCCCTCTGTGACCTAAAGCAGATCAAACTTGATGTAGGAAAATTTTCAGATGAGTCTGATAAGGATTTACTCAGATCGATGAGCTACACTAGAAAGATTTAATGTTACTTTTAAATCAAACATTGACTTCTAATGAGAGACAAGCAGCGTTACAAGCTGCTATTGCATTTGGGGATGAATACCATGCTGTTAATTTTAGACAGGCCAAAGGTGGACAGCCAAGGGAACAACCAGTTCCCACTGGAGCCCAAGCAGACCCTACTCAAAGCCCCTACTGGCTTAGCAACCAGGTGGGAGATTAGAGCAGGAGGCATCTCCAGACATGTGTTCTTGAAGGTCTAAGATGAATGGCAACTAAGCCCCTCAATTATTTTAAATTCTCAATTATTCAACAAGAGAAAAATGAGCACCCCTCGGCCTTCTTAGATAATTTGCAAGTGGCATTGGTTAAACATATGTCCATAGATGTCCATAGCTCCTGATTCAACAGAAGGACAAATTATGCTTAAAGACATGTTTATTATCCAGTCAGCCCAGAATATTAAGAAAAAATTACAAAAGATAGCTTTTGCTCCAGAGAGTTCACTTTGTACTTTAGTGAAAAGTGCCTCCTCAGTATTTTATAAGTGAGTTGAGGCAGAGGCCAAAGAGAGAAAACAAGGAGACCAGGAGAATGCCGCTGCCTTTGTTGTACCCTTTCAAGAAACAGACTCTAGGTCTGATTCTTGGGGCTGCAAGAACAGCTACAGCGGGGGCCAAAAGCCAGGCCACCTTAAGAGGGACTGCCCTCAGAAGCCCCCTGAGCCGTGCCCTAACTTCCAAGATGACCACTGGAGGTCAGGCTGCCCTCTGAGGCAGAAGCCCCAGAGTTCAGACCCATCCTACCAGTTGGTCCAGCAAGACTGAAGGGTCCTGAGGTACTCTCTGCCTTCTCCTTCTGGCCAGATTGTCATCTCTACAGAGGAGCCCCAGGTAATCATGACTATAGAGGAAAAAGAAACCAGCCTACTGTTAGACACTGGTGCATGTATCTTTGTCCTTCTCCAACTCTGGCCTTCCTTCCAGCCATCATAGCTCAAAGAGATACCAGGAAAAATAACTTGCTTAGGGCTGGGGATATAGCTCAGTGGCACAAGCTCCTGCCTGGCAAGCACAGGGTCCTGAGTTCAATTCCCGGTACAAAAAAAAAAAAAACTTGCTTAAACTCTAACTGGGATGATTTTCTTTTCACCTATTCCTTTTAGTTATTCCTCAAAGCCCAGCTTCCATCCCAGGGAGATATATTGTATCCTGTCTAAATACTGTAATACCCAGGTTGCCAGCTAATCAAAATGATGCTGACACTAGTTTTACAAAGACAATATATATTGTTTCTGTACAATACCTTGAGAGTTTTTCATTGGTCAAAATAATGTGTTCCTATAATGTGGTTCTCATAAGTCATCAAAAATTTAAAAATAATTACAACTAAAACTGGGGGGAGTGTGCCCAGCACTCAGGAGGCTGAGGCAGGAGGATCATTATGAGTCTGAGACCAGCCTAGGCTACAAAGTGAGCTCAAGGCCAGCCTGAACTGCATAGCAAGACCCTGTCTCAAAAAGACAAAAAAAACAAAAACAAACAAACAAACAAAAACACAAAAAACAGAACAAAAACAAAAAACTAGGGGGAACTTATAGCAAAATATCAGTCTCCATCAGTAGAGGGGTCTAAGAGCCAGTAGATTACAATTGCTATTCTAGTCCTTTAAGGACAGTTTCTATTGCTGTTTTCCTTTTCTTTTTTTTTTTTCTTTTTTTTTTTTTTGGTACCAGGAATTGAACTCAGGACCTTGCACTTGCCAGGCAGGCACTTATGCCACTGAGCTATATCCCCAGCAAGGACAGTTTCTAAACCTACGTGTCAGCTCTAATGCTCATGCTTTAACTGTACATTCTCTAACTTCTTAAAAATGTGTTTCTTCTTGCCTAGAGGCTGTCAAACCCCAAGTGATTATACAGATGAAATCAATGACAAATATGCTAGACTCCTTTTACTGGGATCCACCAGATCAACCTTGCCAAGAGAGGCTTTTATGCCACACATGAAGGCCTTAGCTATTCTCAGTGGGACTTAAACAGCACCAAAGCTGGTCTCTCTTTCCTAAAGAAATAAAATTAATGAGAGAAGCCATCCTCCAAAGTTGGATGGCATTAGACATTCTAACTGCAGCACAGGGGGTACTTCAGCAACTGTGAAAACTGAATGTTGTGTGTACATTTCTGATCCTTCTGCTAATAGCTCAATAGATGTTCAAGCTATTAGATGACAACTTAATAACAAGCCAGACTCTGAAATTCCCTGGAGCCTTTCCCTATCCTCTTCATGGGAAGCTGTTACGGGCTCTTCGTGGTGGAAATCTCTGTTGACTGTATGCATAGTTATCCTGTTGATCTTATTATTTGGTCAGGTGTACTTGTTTCTTTGGCTTTGTCTCCTCCAGACGTAAAGCTATACGCCTACCCAGGAGGAGAAAATGCCTGGTGTCCACTGAGGGCCTTTACATAGACCCCGTGGAGGGTACCTCTGAGTGCTGGTCGCAACTAAGACCCCCTTCTGCCTGAAGATGTCAGATCAGTCCTCGCCCATTGCTCTCTCATGGCAGTTCGGGGTATTTCTTCAGAGGGGGGAATGTTATAGACAGCTAAAACTAGGTAGAAATATTCCAGGTAGTCAGACCTCAAAAGAGCCAATGCAGAAGAGGGGATATATTGCAACTGTGGGGGAGACATAGGCACCTCCCCTGGGGCCAGACCTCAAGACAAAGGATGAAAGGAATGCACCCACATACTTCCCCTAAGGATAAACATCAGGGATTGATATTCTAAATAGGTATCATCACCTTGGGAAAGCCAGGAGGAGCCACTGACCCACCCCCTCCAGGAAAAGCCGCTGTTCTGTATTCATGCCAGCTTGCTATGGGACTCGCTTCCCCATTTGGTCCCCAAGTAACCAATATTACCTGAGCAGTTGTGCTCATAATCTTATTGGTTGATCATAGTTTTGTCCCACCTCATGCCCACCTTGTGATTTCCCATTTTCCCCCACCTTGGACCTGCCTCACCTTGTGGTTTTGCTCTATAAAAATCCCTAGGGAAGGCAGGGTCCTCAGCAACCCACCCAGGACCCCTTCTGTCTCTCTCAGACAGAAACTTTCTTTCCCTAATGAATTTACTCTGCTATTAACATCCGTTGTTCCTAAAATTCATTCTTTGATTTTAGAGAACACGAACTTGTACTGGACATCTAGCAGGTTGGGAGTTTCTTTCCCCTGTATCACTGGCACTTGGGAGGTAGAGGCGGGAGAATCTTCACAAGTTTGAGGCCAGCCTGGGCCACATAGTGAGCTCAAGGCCAGCCTGAACTACACAGGGGTGGTGTGGCCGGGGCGGGACATGACTGTGACAACGGACTAAGAGTTCCAGGGCCCTGGGGTCCTCAGGGCTCTGCCGTGTGGCTCCTCTCTTCCCGGTGTCAGGGAAAAGGCGGAGAAGCGCTGATCTCCCCCACACAGCTTTTCCCTGCCTGAGAAAGAGGCTTCCGTACACTGTCCCAGCCCCGCCACTCCTGGTGCCGGCCATGGCGCTTACCTGTACTTCTGCTTGCCGTTCTTTCTTAACGTTAATCAGTTGTTTTTGAAGAGATTTTATCATTTTTCGTCCCTTTTCCTCCCTGCAAAAAATAAGGATTTGTCGGTGGAGTGGGGCTACCAAGCCCTAGGATGGACGGGCACCCCAACAGCTGCAGAGCAGGTTCAGCGCCTGGGATTCCGGCTCAGGAGCCTGGGGGCCTCGGCGGCAGCTTGGGCCAGGAGCACACCCTCCTACCCCTGCTCAAACGCTGCGGTTCGTGTTAGTCAACTGGAAGAAGACTTCTCTGGCTTCTCAGTGTTCTATCCAAAATATCTGCTGCTGAGGAAAAGTGAAGAAGTTGCTGAGAAAAACAGAATTCCCTTCTATTCTGAACACTAGTGCATATTTTCACCTCAACCTTGGGAGGTGATCTGACAGCCTTTTATTTTCTTTTCTGGTACCGGGAATCAAACTCAGGACCTTGTGCTTGCCAGGGAGGCGCAGTGCTGCTGAGCTATATCCCCAGCCCTATCCTTTTGTTTTGCTTTCATTTATTTATTTATTTATTTATTTTTTTTTTTTTGAGTCAGAGTCTTGCTATGTAATCCAAGCTGGCCTTGAACTCATGGCACTCTTGGTGGACATTACCCTTACCTTACAGATGGTGGACACAGTTGTGCCTCAGTGACCTTCAGCTGCAGGGAGCATGTCGAGCAGGTCTCAGCCTCTAGGCCCTGAGAGCTCCCTGAGTGACCTCTGAGGCCATACTTGCTTTCTGCACACTGCATCCAGCCACCTACTCAGTGTGGCGGGTGCACCAGGGCATGTCCCATGGGTGACTGACTCAGAGATGCCCTGATGGCCTCGCCAAGCCACCCTGGGATGACACAGCCACCTCTGCCTCGAAGCTTCCCCTCCTTCACGGGGCCTCTCGCGTGAGATGTGGAGGCTCAGCCCGTTTCCCTCACACCAGTGGCCCCTGCGTGAATGACTGCTGCCACATGTACTCTCAGGACTGGGCCTTACACGCTGTCACACAAGCAGGACAGGGCTCAAGCTCAGTACTGTCCGACACAAACTCCAAGAACTGAACTACATTCTGGACCTTTATTTGCTCTGAGAAACACAATTCTCTCTCCAGCAACACCATTAGTTAGGTTTAAAACAAATAAAATGCCTAGCCAGGTGTGGTGGCGCAGGCCTGTGATCCCAGCACTCCTGAGGCTGAGGCAGGAGGACTGCCCTGAGTTCAAGGCCAGCCTGGGCTACATAGCGAGACTCTGTCTCAAAAAAACAAAACAAAACACCAAAACAATACATGAGTAAGCAAAACAACCAAAAACTTAGCATGAAACTATATCTATGCAGGAATTTTTGGTGGGGAGGTCATTCAGGCTAGTCTTGAACTCATGGTGATCCTCCTGCCTCAGCCTCCAGAGTGCTGGGATTACAGGTGTGTGCCATCACACCTGGCTACACAGGAATTTTTAGAAAGCATGAACCTAAAGTAGAGCTGGTCACCACTGAAACAAACTGCAGATTTGGGACTACCCATTTATCATCACAGAAAATAGGTATGAAAAATGATAGTTTAGCTCAGTTATCAAAGTCAGCACCCCAAGTACAGATTTATTTAAAGGTACAAGCCAGGTGTGATGGTACACACCTGTAATCCTAGCCCTTGGGAGGCTGAAGCAGGATTACCATGAGTTCAAGGCCAGCCTGGGCTACATAGTGAGACCTTGTCTCAAAAAATAAACAAATCATTTATATAAGTAATATGTATATGACTACTTTAGAAAATGCAAAAAAGGAGAAAAGTAAAAGAAAAATTGCCCATGTCCCACTATCTTGAGTTAACTATAGTTAAAATTTTACTACAGATCCTTCTAATCGATATAAACTACAGAGAAGCCACTTTGAAGATATCAATATGTAATACAACCACCATTGTTAATTCCCTACCACTTTGTTTGGAACTCTGTATTGTCTGTATTGTGCTTGTGATATGTTGTAAAATGTTGTATGTCTGTTAATGTTTCCCTCCTTTTATCCTTAAAAAAAAAAAAAAAAAAAAATATATAAACTACAATTTTTCTCACATAGAACTGGTAGTGGTACATTTTGTGTATAATTTTTACCCTAATTTTATACTTTACATACACTTTGTCTTTTTAATCAGTAGTGGACCCATCACTTACTTCTCTTCCCATTTCAAACAACACCAGAATAACCAGAAAGGAATAATAAAAGGTGTAAACCTACCAAAGAGGGTAAAACAGGCAAAAATGAAACTGAGGGGGCTGGGGATTTAGCTCAGCGGCACAGCGCCTGCCTGACAAGCACAAGGTCCTGAATTTGATTCATAGCAGGAAAAAAAAAAGAAAAAAAGAAAAAGAAAAGAAGATATAAAACAAAGAAAGAAAGAAAGAAAAATGCAATGGAAATGTGTCCAGAAGAAGAAGCCAAGAATAAAACTACATCAAGCTGCTCGGCGCAGGGCAGTCAGGCCCCTTTGAATGACTCTAAAACAAAACAACGAAAATGTTAGTATAAAACTGTTAATTAAATGAATGAGGCCAGGGATTCAATCCCTAGTACTAGAGGGGGAGAAAAAGCTGCTAAAGCCAGACATGGCGCACACCTGTCACCCCAGCACTCAGGAGGCTGAGGCAGGAGGATCGCTGGGAGTTTAAATTGTATTTTGCAGTGTCTACGTTCTGTTCAGCTGTCCGGCACAGATGGGAGCAGTCCTGGTGGGACTGGCCAGCTATCACTGTGATTGGTAGCTGCTGGGTGCCCTATGCCCATGAAAACTCTAGTGCAGAGTTTATCACAACCCTGGGGAAGAAAGCAGAGAACAGCGCGCAAGGAAAAGCAGTTTCTCCTCCCCAGACGTCCCAATCAGGGGCCCGCAGAACCTGTGGGCTGCACATCTGGGACTCGGCCAGCTGTGGGTCAAGTACACTTCCAGTCCAGCCTAGGCAGCTTGGTGAATTAGTGAGACCCTGCCTCACATTTAAAAACAGAAAGAAGAGGCTGGAGATGTAGCACAAAGGCCCTGGGTTCAGTACCGGTACTGCAAAGAGGCACCACAGAGAAAACACAAAAACACTGAACACCTTTTCTCTTGGCATCAGTACGTTTGTACAGTATCTGTGTTGTGTTAGCTGTTAGGAGGAGTCCAGGAATGATCCAAACTAAAGCCAGGACGTTGCTTACATGAGATCCAAAGGCAGGGGGGCTGGGGATTTAGCTCAGCGGCAAAGCGCCTGCCTGGCAAGTGCAAGGTCGTGAGTTCCGTTCCCGGTACCGGAAAAAAACCAAAAAAAAAAAAAAAAAAAACAAAGGCAGGAGCCGGGCGTGGTGGCGCACGCCTGTAATCCCAGCACTCGGGAGGCAGGAGGATTGTTGCGAGTTTAAGGCCAGCCTGGACTACAAAGTGAGCTCAAGGCCAGCCTGAACTGCATAGCGAGATCCTGTCTCAAAAAGACAAAAAACAAAACAACAACAAAAAAACCCCAAAACGCCCAAAGATATGCAGGCCGCGTCATGCCAGGCACTCAAATGTCTTGCCAGGCATCGTGCAACCAATCTTGCAGATGCCAAGGTACAGGTATATGGGTCCATGTAAGAAGTTATTCTAAAGGACTTTGTCCCCTTCCTTCCCTTTTTCTTTCTGCAGATTGCACCACTGAGCTAGACTCACAGGGCTATGCTGAACATTCTTTTTTGTTTTTTGAGACAGGGTCTCACGTTTGTAATGCAGGCTGGCGTTGAACTCACTATGCATCCCAGACTGGCCTTAAACTAATGGTGATCTTCCTGCCTCAGCCTCCCGAGTGCTGAGATTTTTGGCATGTGCCACCACACAAGGTGGATCCTTGATACATATTGTAGATTCAAATAACTAAGGTCCATAGAAATCTGAATTATTATCCCAGATAATATAGGAGTAGAATCTACATTTCTGACTTCTAGCTAACTTCCTTGGAAAGTATACACTGGATTTGCTTTAGAAAACAAGGATTTCAGTAGAGGTTTCATTACCATTCCATTCCCCTCTGGTTCTCTGCCCTCCCCTTCCTGTTCCTTCTCTTCCATTTATTTATTTTTACACAGTGTCTAGCTATGTAGCCCAGGCTGGCCTTGAGCCTCCTGCCTCAGCCTCCCAAAGTGCTGGGATTACAGGTGTCTGCCACCACACTTGGCTTGGTAAGAGCTTTATACAGTTTTAAAATACAACAAGCAGAGCTGGGCATGATAGCACAGCACTATAGCCCCAGCTACTTGGGAGGCTGAGGCAAGAGGATCACTTGAGCCCACGAGTTTAAGGCCAGTCTAAGCAACATAGTGAGATCCCATTCCAGACACACACGTGTGCGTGCACACACAAAGTACACTCACACACACACCACAGCAAATCCCACCGCTCCGACCTGTCAATGGCATCATAGAAGTGCATCTTGTTCTCCTTCTCCTTGCGCAGGGTTTGCAAAAGGCTTGTGAAAGTTCCTGACTCTTGCAGCTCCTGCATGGTGCTCACGAGGACATCGCTGAGAAACTGCCTGTGGAGAGGAGCGAGTTAGTGAGATCTGGTTCCCTTGCTTCATAGGGGCTACAGAAGTGACACAAACCCAGAAAGGGCATCTCGGTTAAGATGGGATTAATGCAGGAATCCTTTAGCCCAAGGAAATCTATTCATAAACTAGGCATGGGGGCTGAGGATTTAGCTCAACGGCAAAGCGCCTGCCTGGCAAGCGCAAGGTCGTGAGTTCGGTTCCTGGTACCGGAGAAAAACCAAGAAAAAGAAAAAAAAACAAAAAAAAAAGAAATTCTGTATCATAAACTAGGCATGGTGTCACTCACCTGTAAACTCAGCCACTTGGGAGGCTGAGGCAGGAGGATCACCAGTTCAAGGCCCCTTGAACCTGGGCAATTTAACAAGACTCTGTCTCAAAAAAAAATTTTTGAAGGGCTTTGGCTTTTCTACGAAGGGATAAAGAGTAAATAGTCTTAGCTTTGCAGTCCCCTGTTGTCCTCTTTTTTTGTTTTGTTGTTGTTATTTTGAGCCAGGATCTTGCTATGTAGCCCAGATTGCCCTTGAACTTGGGGTGATTGTCCTGCCTCAGCCTCCCGAGTGCTGGGATTCCAGGCTTGCGCCACCACTCTCTGCCCTATGTTGTGAAACATGCTGTCCATCCTCACCTGTCGTTCTGAGTCTTCTTCAGCGTCTCCATGCTGAGGATGGCCTGCCCCGTAGGTGTTTTCAAGTCCAGGTCTTGCATTTTGTTAAACTCTGCCGCCACCTGGCCTTCTGCTCTGCCTTCGGGCGACCCTGGTGCTTTGAGTGATAACCGAGTTGATATTTTCCTTGCAGCCAAGGACCCTGGCGGTTTGTCCGGGCTATTGCTTCTCTACAAGCAAATGATATTGAGAAAGGTGTTTTAAACTGAGAGCACAGTATTCCAAGAAAGAGGGTTTTGCCTGTGTGTTGCAGCCTTGCTTTATCCCACTAGGCTGCTACAGTTCAAGATGTGCTCTTCTTCTGCACAGTGAACCCGGGGGCCCACCGTTTTGTGTCTTCTCCAACGTCCCCTCTGTTGCTCCCCAGAGGTAAGGTGGGGGCTGGGGGTGTAGCTCTGGGGAGACACATCTTATTTTTCAATTTATTTTTGCTGTATGGTGATCAAACCCAGGGACTCTGTCACCAAGCTGTACCTCCAGAACTTAATTTTTTTTCCCCCGGTATCGGGAATCGAACTCTCAACCTTGTGCTTGCCAGGCAGGCACTGTGCCGCTGAGCTAAATCCCCAGCCCCTATCCCCAGAACTCTAAATAGTGTTTTTATTTGTGCCAGGTGTGGTAGGAAACACCTGCAGTTCTTGCACTCAGGAGGCTGAGCCAGGAGGATCACTGTGAGTTCAAGGCCTGTCTGGGCTACATAGTGAGGTCAAGGTCAGCCTGAACTACACAGTGAGACCTTATATCAAAAAGAAATTTTTTTGTTTTTATTTTGAGGCAGAGTCTTGCTAGGCTAAGCTGCCCAGGCTGGCCTCGAACTAATGATCCTCCTGCCTCAGCCTCTTGAGTAGATGGGACTACAGGTGTACACCACTGCGCCTGGGTAAAGCACACCTTCAATATGTGCAAGCCCCTAGGCTCAGTCTCGGCGTCACCCCTGCATGCACATGCGCAGACGCGCTCTCTCATACACACACACAGACACACACACACACAAAGTTCCTTGTGAAATAGCTGTTCGAGAGCGCTCACTATATTGTTATTCACTGGAGGATATGGGCTTTGAGATGGAAGAGCCTTGGAGACTGCAGCTCATTTCAAATTCTTTTTGGGTGCGAGAATATTGCGGATGTGGCCCAGGGGCTTTGCAACAGCCCCAGGCCATCTTTTATTTGGAGATAGGGTCTCCCTAAATCACTAGATTGCTCAGACTGGGCTCTAACTTGTAATCCTCCCACCTGAGCCTCACAGAGTGTTGGCTTCACAGGGGTATGCCACTGTACCTGGCTAATTTTCCTTCCTTAATATGGATTTATTTCTCTTTTTTTGAGTCAGGGTCTAGCTATGTAGTACAGGCTGCCCTTGAACTCACTAAGGAGCCCAGGCTGGGCTCAAACTCAGCAGTCCTCCTGCCTCAGCCTCCTTAGTGCTGGGATTACAGGCATGCGCCACCATGTCCAGCAAGAATTGAAACATTTGGTGGGCATGGTGGCACACACTTATAATCCCAGCACTCTTGGAGGCTGAAGCAGGAGGATCATAAATTCAAACACAGTCTGGTTAACTTAGTGCTGGGCACATAATGTAGCTCACTGCAAAGGCCTTAGGTTTAATCCCCAGTACCAAAGAGGGGAAATAGGTTTAAAAATATATACCTCGGTCCCCCCAAAAAAGAAAAAATAAAGACTGCTCTCTATTAAGTTAAGTTTTGTGATAGCTCCTTGGTGCTCAGGGGTCCAGACGTCATTGCAAATGTCAGGCCTGAGGAAAAGCGCGCCAAACAGCCCCAAAACTTCGGCGCGTTCAGCAAGGACAGCAGTGCAGACGTCGCAGGTGAGCTTCGCCCCCTAGTGTTCAGTTTTCTTCTAGCCACTGAGGACTGGGGCGAGGAGGGCTGGGGATTTGGTCTGGGCGTGCGCATGGAGTTGCTTCCCCTCCCCAGTGTGCACGTGGGTCCCGAGGAGCCGCAGCGGTTCAGCGCTAGGGCCCTGTGGACACCGAGTGCCTCGGGTAAAGTGGCGCACTATTTGCATATGGTCTGTGAGTGCCGCTTAGGCGCCTCCCTAGCCTCGAGTACAAATGTAGCATGGTTGTTACATTGTATTCCCCAGCACTCGGGAGGCTGAGGCAGGAGGATCATTGCCAGTTCGAGGCCATCCTGGGCTACAAAGTGAGCTCAAGGCCAGCCTGAACTGCATAGAGAGACCCTGTCTTAAAAAGCCAAAAAAAAAAAAAAAAAAAAAAAAAAAAAAAAAAAAAAAAACAAGAAAATAAATCTGAACATATTTTTTTCCTTTTGTTTTTTGTTTTTTGAGACAAGGTGTTGCTATACAGCACAGGCTGGCCTTGAGCAAGTGGCGATCCTCCTGCCTCAGCCTCCCCAGTGCTGGGATCACACGTGTGCCCAGACACAATTATTTTCTGAGTATTTTCCGTCTGAGGTTGGTTACACGGATGGATGCAGAGCCCCTGTGTGGAGGGCGGGGGGGTACTGTCTTCATAGGGTTTCAACCAGAGTCCTCTCTGAATAACGCCACTATCCTGCCAAAGGCTGTTCTGCTCCTAACCACACCGAGCTGTGGCCGTTTCCCCCATCAGCGGAGGATTCTGACAGACAGCCTTTATCAGAGACGAGGCTGGCCAGCAGCTCGCTGTAACTGCCGGAGAGCCGCCCCGGGGATAGCAGAGCACACTCACCGCGCTCACCGGCGCCATGCTCTGCCGCCTGTCCAGAGGCCACGGCATGATGTAGCCCAGAATGGACAGCTGGTCGGCGGTGTCCTCCAGCACCGCGGAGATCGTCAGCACCTCCAGGAGGGACAGCCCCACTTCGGCTTCGGCGTCGGCTTTGGCGTCGGCTTTGGCGTCGGCTTCGGCGTCGGCTTCGGCGTCTGCTTCGGCGTCGGCTTCGGCTTCGGGCTCCGCTGTCGATGCTTCCTCAGCGGCTCCAGGTGGCTCACCTGTCACCAGCATCATGGCCTTAGGCCATGATGGAGGAGCGGGTGAGGCTTCCAAGTTGTGTCTAAGGAGAAAGTACAGAAAAGATAAGTCTGTGAGCAATGTTCCAGTGTGAAACTCAAAAACACAGGCAAGTTAGGCAGGGTGGTGAATGCCAGTAATGCCAGCACTCGGAAGGCTGAGGCAGGAGGATCACTGTTACTTCAAGGCCACCTTGGGCTACATAGTAAGTTCACGGCCAGCCCGAACTGCATATGAAGACGCTATCTCAAAAGAACTAAAACACAAACAGCAACAAAAAAATAAAAGTAAGAGTTTACATGGGATTCTGATAAATACCCTTTACCTTGACAGACCAAAAGCTAACAACTTATTGTTTCAGATAGGTAGCTCTTGCTGGGTGTGGTGGTGCACTCCTGTAACCCCAGCTACTTGGGATGCTGAGGCAGGAGAATTGCAAGTTTAAGGCCAGCCTGGGCAACTCAGCAAGACTCTGTCTCAAAAATAAAACAAAAAAATTTTAAAAGCGGGTGATGCAGCTCAGTGGTAGAGCGCATACCTAGCATGCCTGAAGCTCTGGATTCAATCCCCAACACCAGGAGGAGGAAGGAGGGAGGGAGGGAGGGGGGGAGCAAGAGAGGAAGGAAGGAAGGTAGGAAGAAAGACAATGTAACCCATCCTATTGGCTAGGCTTAATTTGAACTTGGCCAAGATGACCTTTATTCTCAAGCCACATCTTTAAATGTAACCAGAAGTGTGTGGTTACTGAGAAATAGAAGGCCACAGCGGTCCCCAGGCACCACCAGCCCTCACTTTCTGGGATTTCTGCCCTGGTGTCCTCACTGTCCCTTGTGGAATGGAACGAATCGGCTTAACCAAGAGACCCCTGTGAGGGTAACCTTGGGAATTCCAAAGCCAGCGACAAAGGCTGCAGCAGTAGCCTTTTGTTAGCTCCGTCTCACTCTGATGGGGGCAGCCTGGACACCCATGTCCCGGGGACGTCCAGGCGGCCCTCTGTGCTGCAGTTGAGGAGGCCAAGTCCACTCCACTGTGACTGAGCCACTGGAAGCCGCCCGCCCCCAGCAGGTCCCCACGGCCACAGTCCTGGCTGCTGCAGCCTTCTGAGACTGTGGAACTGGGCCGGAACCGGCCATGCTGCTCCCAGTCTGACCCACAGGAACTGAGTATAGCAGTGTGGGTCACTGCATGCTGGGGCGTTTTGTTACACAGCAGTGCCCAAGTCTGCAGAAACTTCACACAGGCAGAATTAAATTTACATATGCAAAATACACTGGAATTCTGAACATACCCTTCCATTCTTCTGTAGTTTTGTCAGCTGCCACGGGATGTTTCCGATCTCACAAAAACGCAGTCACCTGAAATGAGGAGACATTGAGATTATGTAAGGGCTGCTGAGTGATGCTTCAGTTATTTCTATGCCTTTTTTCAGTTTGTTGTATTTTTTGAGACAAGGTCTTGCTATGGAGCTCAGGCTGCCCTTGAACTCACTAGGTAGCCCAGGCTGGCCACAAACTCCTGGTGGTCCTCCTGCCTCAGCCTCTGGAGTGCTGGCATTACAGGCGTGCACTACTGTATCCAGCTCAATGCCTTTTCACTGAGAGAAAAAGGGTTGCAGAGCTGTGGCTCATCCCTCATTTTGCTCAGCGTGGCAGTCCCGGGGTGGAAGAACCACTGGTAGCCTGGGATGCAGGTCTCTGAACCAGCAGTTTTTTTTTTTTTCTTTTTTGTTTGTTTTTCTCTGGTACCAGGAACCAAACTCACGACCTTGCACTTGCCAGGCAGGCGCTTTGCCGCTGAGCTAAATCCCCAGCCCCTGAACCAGCAGTTTAATTACTGGTCTACCTAAACCAGCTGTAGTGGTGCATGCCTATAGTCCCGGCACTCAGGAGGCTGAGGCAGCAAGATCCCCATGAGTTTGAGGGCAACCTGAGCTACGTAGGGAATTCAGTGCCAGCCTAAGCTATTACATAGTGGACCCTGTCTTAAAACAACAAAACAAAAAATTATTGGTCTACCAAAACTGCAGATACACACTCATGATGTCTCCTTTTAAAGTATGTTAATATCCAATGTGAGTTTAGTACATTTCATTGTATTCCTTTTTTTTTTGTCTTTTTGAGACAGGGTCTCACTATGCAGTTCAGGCTGGCCTTGAGTTCACTTTGTAGCCCAGGTTGGTCTTGAACTCTCAACAATCCTCCTGCCTCAGCCTCCCGAGTGCTGGGATTACAGGTGTGCACCACCACACCCAGTTTATGTTATTTTAAAAAATTTTTTGGTTCTCAAGATTGAATCCAGGGCCTTTGCACTGAGCCATATCCTTGCCTTTTGTTTTGTTTTGTGTTTTTATTTTTTTAAAATTTTTTTTGTTTTGGGGCTGGGGATTTAGCTCAACGGCAAAGCGCCTGCCTGGCAAGCGCAAGGTCGTGAGTTCGGTTCTCGGTACCGGAGAAAAGCCAAAAACAGGAGAAAAAAAAAAAAAAAAAAGTTGGTAAAATTTTTTTGTTTTGACACAGGGTCACACTAAATTGTTACTTTGCCCAAGTTGGGCTCAAACTTGGGATCCTCGTGCCTCAGCCTCCCAGAATTCTGGGATGATAGGCATGTGTCACCATGCCCGGCTTACTTATCTATTTTTTGTTTGTTTGAAGTGTAATGTTTATAAATGTTTCATAAAACTGTGGAGTCACCTTTACTCCTACCTACCAGCACACCCTTGACACTCATAATATCTGCTAGCCATGCGGTCGCCCCCCCATCTCTCAGCAGGTTCCTGTCTCCTAAGGAATCTTTAAAAACAGTTCTAGAGATAAAACCTCCTCCTGAGGGAGGAGTGTTTACCCAAGGGAAGAACAGACTAAAGAACTCATATTTTTTTGGTGGTGTTTCTGTCCGAGCCATACAAGGGCGCCCTACAGGTGAGTTAACATCCCAGAGGCTCCTCCTTCACATCCCCTTTTCGAAACTGTTGTTTAGGCTCGTCTGCAATCTTGCGGTCCTCCTGCCTCAGCCTCCAGAGTAGCCGGTTACTATCGCGTGCCACCGCGTCTGGCTTCCTTTAATTTCTTCCTTTCTCTCTGTCTCTCTCTCTCTGTGTAGTTCAGATTGGCCTTCAACTCACTATGTAGCCCAGGCTGGCCTGGAATTGCTAGGATCAAGCGATTCTCCCGCCCCAGCCTCCTGAGTAGAAGCTGGGACCACAGGGGCACGCCAACACGCCCGCTTATAAAATCATTTCTTTAAAGAGGTAAGAGAGAATAACAAAAAAGACAGAAGAGGGCCGGGGATATAGCTCAACGGCACAGTGCCTGCCTGTCAAGCACAAAGTCCTGAGTTAGATTCCCAGCAAAAAAGGGGAAGAGCTCCTTCTGCCTTCATGCTCCCGCTTCTCTGCCTGCTAGGGCAGGATCCGAGAGTCCGCTCGGTCTACCGCAGTGAGGAAGAGAGAAAGACAGTCCTGTGTTCGCCAAACGGCGTTAAATTCTCGATCCGGCACTACCTTTCAGCGTACCATCGGCAGACACCAAATCCTCGGTAGGGAACCAAGCTAAACTGTTGCTATAGCAACGTACTTTTTTGGAGGGGGACCTTCTCCTCTCCCACCTTAGTTGGCTACCGTATTGCCTCTCTCAATTCGCCAATACTACACGTTAACACTGAATATTGCAACTGAAAGGACTTTGGGAAAGAATTGTAGGCGCGTTGTTAAATGTGGCTTATTTCAGTCCGAAGACGCGTTCTGATGCGTGTTTTTACGGCGTTCGCGGAGGATGCCTAAGAGAGGGCGGGGCGGGGCAGTTTTTCCCATAAGGCCACGCGGTGGGGCCTTGTCTTTCTTTTCCGCCATCTTGGCGCCCAGGGAGGTGAGGGGGGCGCCCGCTGTCGGAGTTGGGGGCGAAGAAGCGGGGTGGGTTGGGCAGTACACCGCGGCGAGGCGCCGGGGCGGCTCGGAGACCGTGTCAGCCGGTGGTTTCCGAGGATTCCAGGAGCAGGGAGGACGGGATGGAGCAGATGCGAGGCAGATAGTGCTGGGCCCCTGACACCGGGAGAACGAGTGGCCGGGCGATCGGAGTTGGTTCCCGGGAGGAGTGGAATAGACGCGCTTCGTCTGTGTGCACTTGCGCACAGAATAGTGGCTCCTCTAAGCTGACTTTCCGCGTTTGGTCCCTCTGAAAACTCTCTTTGTCCACAGTCTCCGGCTTTTTCCCACCCACTGCTTTAAAAGTCTTATGTGCATCTGTCAGTTTCGTAAATCTTTAAGTTAATTTTGGACCACAGAGAGCGGCATGAGTGCGCCGGGCGCGGTGGCGCACGCCTGTAATCCCAGCACTCAGGAGGCTGAGGCAGGAGGATTGTTGCGAGTGCGAGACCATCCTGGGCTACAAAGTGAGCTCAAGGCTAGCCTGAGCTGCATATCGAGACCTTGTGTCGCAAAGACCAAAAAAAAGCAGTCTGGGCCTTCTCGGGGTTCTCCATTGAAAGCGGTGGTGATGACACTACACTGCTCTGGCACTTAACTTTTGCCTTCGTTTTGGCGTTTGCGTAGCTGTCAGCCCAGCCATCCGCTGCGGTTTGGGTGAGCTGCCGCGCTCTCTCCTGATGACCGTGCCGTGGCACAGTTACGTGTCTCCAAACTAGCGCGAAACGCCAAGAAGGGATTTATGTGACAGGCGTAAAAAACTAGAAGTTGCAAGGGGAGAAACTTAAGTTCGGTTCTAAACTGAGTCTTTTATTTCAGGCCTGCTGGGATCAGGACTTCTAATAGACAAATATGTCTGGAAGGTAAGCGTTTTAAATATTACTCAATTCAGTGTGAATCTCAGCAAGCTTGAAATTGGTGGGGAAATACTCGGTGTTTGTTACAGATACCTTTTGGGCGACAGTTATTACAAGTCAAATTATATTGGTGGTTTATGGAAGAAAAACGAGATCTTTTTTAACAGCCTATGTCTGACGTCATGTATTTTGTGTGTCTTAGACTGTGGTGCAAGGCCATTTTTGCTGGCTATAAGCGGGGTCTCCGGAACCAGAGGGAACACACAGCTCTTCTTAAAATTGAAGGTGTTTATGCCCGCGATGAAACCGAATTCTACTTAGGCAAGAGGTGTGCTTATGTGTACAAAGCGAAAAAGTAAGTTTACCCCTTGTGACGCTTTGGAATTTTTACTTTATCTGCCTCAGTTGTTTTGTTGGAAGGCTTTGGTAAAGTGGCACTGTGGCTTCTACTCTGGGCTTTAGGAAACTTTATGGAAAGTTCAGGAATGGCCAGGTGTGGTGGTGCATGCCTGTAATCCCAGCACTCCAGGAGGCTGAGGCAGGATTGCTGGGAGTTCGAGGCCAGCCTGGGCTACAAAGTGAGCTCGAGGCCAGCCTGGACTGCAGAGTGAGATCCTGTCTCGCACAGACCAAAAAAACAAACAAACCAGGAAAGTTAAGGAAGGTTGTTAGCTTTTGTGGGTAGTGTTGCTGAGGGTAGGTAGTCTTGAGTATTTAGAAAGTTACAACTGTTAATTGTTTCAAGGAAGGAGTTAGTTTGTGTTCATTTTAATTCCTTACAATAATTTTTGTATTTTTATACATGGCTTTAAGGTATTAATTACATCTCTAGAACATGTGTCCCCGCAGCCCCCAGGGTTGAACCCAGGACCTTGTGCATACTATGCGTGCTTCTACCAGTGAGCTATGCCCTAGCCCAGAATATTAGTTCTTTTTTTTTTTTTTATTTTGTAGCTTTTTTTTTTTTTTGGTTTTTCTCCGGTACCGGGAACCGAACTCACGACCTTGCGCTTGCCAGGCAGGCGCTTTTGCCGCTGAGCTAAATCCCCAGCCCCCCAGAATATTAGTTCTTAATCGTGGGTTCATAGCCCTTTTCAGACCAGTTAAGCTCTCTGGGGGTGGAGCTCTGCAATGCACTTGGCTGGCTAGCGTGCACAGGCCCTGAGTTCAGTCCCCAGCTCCTCAAAGAAGTCTGGGGAGATGTTTTAATCCTTGCCCTCCTTTGTCAGCCAGAGTACTCCTTTGAGATTAGAAGTGAGGTCCTGTGTACCGCGCTTAAACTCAGTGTTCACCTCATTCAGTCAAAGAAAGGCAAAGCCACCAGGACCCTCCGAGAACCTGTGCACGAGGCTTCCATGTTTCTGTTCTAATCCCAGCGAGAATTTGGCACTTGGTACCTGGCTATTCATTCTCACCTGGGTAGCACGGTTAGCTGTATCTGTCTGTCCTGGTCCTGTCCTAGTAATAGACATGGCATCTAAATTAATATTGGAGGCATTAAGTTTCTGAGGTGGTTCTAAGGGGGTAGCCGGGGTTGAGCCACTAGTCTAGAGGTCGTGAAGAATTTGTACCAAACTATATCAGCAGCCTCAGTTCTCATTTCTCTTCTGTCCTCCTTTAAAATCAGCAACACAGTGACTCCAGGTGGCAAACCAAACAAAACCAGAGTGATCTGGGGAAAGGTAACTCGGGCCCATGGAAATAGCGGCATGGTTCGTGCCAAGTTCCGAAGCAACCTTCCTGCCAAAGCCATTGGACACCGAATCCGTGTGGTGAGTGCAGTTAGTAACAGTGAGCCTCGTTGAGTCAAACCAAGCTCAGAGGGTTGGATTGGGACCTCCCAGAGACTCTCTGATGGTGAAATGAAACTAGTAAATTGTGCGGCAAAATCAGTGGCCGATATGTAAATGAGTGTCATAGAACATTTGGTTCTTTTCTTGTGGAAGGCAGTCTCTGGTGTCAGTCTTGTAGCAGAGGAGATGTCATTAGCCTGATTTTGTACGTAGAACAGATGCTCACAGTCCTCCATCTCAGGAGCTTGGCACATGTCTCGAGGCCAGATGCAGAGGATAACTCCAGTTTTTTCTTTAGTGAGGCCCTATTTTAGATAGTAATTTTGGAACCCTGGGGTACTGGTTGTTGGGTGTGGTTTTTCTTTTTTTTGAGGCAAGGTCTCACTATGCAGTTCAGGCTGGCCTAGGACTCATGTAGACCGCGCTGGCCTCGAACTCACAGTGATCCTCCTGCCTCAGCTTCCCAAGTGCTAGGACTACAGCTTTGCACTACCACACCTGGCAGCCATGGAGTACTGTTGAATCCTGTGAACAGTTGATCCCTGTCATGAGGGTTTTAAAATCAGTCATTAGAAGCAGCTAAAGTAAACATACTTTGTGAGCTTGCTTAGAGGTGCATGTTGGAAACGGAAGCATGTTCACCTAGAAGACCGAGTGTCATAAACAGTTGGTTCTCTTGCCATAGAATGAGGCATCGTTTGGTGCCTTTCCCCGATGAGTAATGGAGAGTCACCTGTGCTAGGGTGCTTAGGAACATGGGTAAGTTCATGTATAATGCTCACCTGATGTTATGTTCTTTTTCCCTAGATGCTGTACCCCTCAAGGATTTGAACTCATGGGAAATAAAAGTGCATTTGTGCTCTTGTATTTTTTAAGTGGCTTAAAAACCTTACTGTCCTGAATTACGTTGCCATATGGGAAAGATTGTCCAGCCTTTTCAGAGTACAAGGAATTAAGAGAACTCCACGCAGTGGTCACGATAGGGCAGTTAGAGGTATTTAGAAGGTGATGGGATTTCTGTGAGCAGCCGCACGAGTGCGTATCGAGGAGGTGAAATCTGCTGTGGGAAGTGGAAGGAGGCGCTGAAGTTAACACTGTCTTCTAGGAGCTGGGGTGTGGGTCAGCGGGGCTGCTGGGCAGCAGTCTGGAAGCCCTGGTGGTTCTGCAGCGCTGAGAGAAGAAAACCTAAAGCAACATGCAGTAGGCTGTGCTTGTTCCTTGCACACCGGTAGAGGGGCTTGGGCGACTGATGAAGTGCGAATAGTTTGGGGTTATATTGCTGGTGTCTGTAAGCTCATTCAGGTAACAAGGGCCTGTCTTTGGCATGTGTGAAATGGGCAAACTTTCACTGTATGTTTCCTGGCAGAGTAGTGTTAAGCTCAAAGTATCACGTGCCACCACCTCAGAAGTAGCTCCAGGGCTGGAAATGTGGCTCAGTGGTAAAGTTCTTACATACGCAAGGCCCTGGGTGCAGTTCCTCAGCACCACCCAAAAACCCCAGACAGGTACCTTTCTCTCGTTTGTTTGTTTTTGTGTGGAGAATTGAACTCGGGACCTTGCACTTGCCAGGCAGGTGCTTTGCCACTGAGTTATAGCCCTAGCTCCCTGGTTTCTTTTTGAGCCTTTTCACAAGGTTCCCTAGGCTGGCCACAGGTTCTCCATCCTGCCTCAGCATCCCAAGTTGGGGTTACATGCATGTGCTGTAATCCAGGATTGGTTTCATTTTTAATGTATTATACTATTATTTTTAATGTATAATACTGTGTATTATACATACATAGTATAGTGCCAATTAAAGCATTTCAGTAGCATGTCAGGAAGGAAAGTAAGCAGGGCTCTAGAATGTGAATTTCGGTGTTTTTTTTAAAAAATTGATTAATGGCATCAGGAGTGTGGTTATAGATTACTTGATGCAGTAGCAGCTAGTGTTTAACATCTTTAAATTCCACTAAAAATGTTACCTGAAATGTGGGGATTTGCTGAACAGCTCCTTTAAGTTTTGATTCCCCCCTCCCCCCCCCGCTCCGGTACCAGGAATTGAACTCAAGACCTTGCACTTGCCAGACAGGCGCTGTGCCACTGAGCTAAATCCCCAGCCCCTTCCTTTAAGTTTTGAAACTTGGTTTTTCTTGTCAAATGCCAAAAAAGGACTAGCATTCTAGAAGTGTAATGGAGGGAAGAGCTTGGAGGATGGGTAGGAAGAGCACGTAGCAGTTCTAAGAAAGGTTTGGTAAGTTGGGTGGTTTTACTCCAGTAAAGTTTCCATTCTAGGGGCTGGGGGTTTAGCTCAGCAGTGCAGCACCTGCCTGGCAAGCACGAGGTCATGAGTTCGATTCCCGGTACCAGGGAAAAAAAACCAAAAAAAAAAAGTTTCCATTCTTGCAGTTACCTGGCTGATGGAAATAAACTTGGGTTTGTACCAGGTTCATTTTTAATACGGCTTCAAGGCCAAAGGGGTGGATTGGAAGGAGCAGCAGTTCGGGGCCATTGGTCATCTGCGCTCTCCTTTTCAGATCGGAGTTGTGCACGAACCACCACCAGTTGGCATTGTTTGGTAAGCCCTAAGGAATTGAATTTGGAGAACGTAGGTTGAAGGGCAAGAAGTGCTCATCTTGGGCCTATGCTGGTGAGATTTAGTTCTTCAGAAACCTAACAGCGACCCTATAGTGTTCATTGTGCCCATTAAGCAGATGTGATAGGCAAAGATGTAACACAAACTGCTTAGGCTTGGCTTGGTGCACACCTGTAATGCCAGCACTGAGGCAGGATCACCACGAGTCTGAGGCCAGCCTGGGCTGCACGGCAAGACTGGCTCAAAAAAACACAAACCAAAGTACTGCCTAAGTGAGTAAAACCACAGTGTATATGGAGGAAGAGCGTCTCGGGAAGGGGAGATGGCAGAAAGATCTTAGAAAGAGTTAGTGAAATGGGGCCGTTTAGTGTGACAAAATGAGTGAGTGGGATTCAAGTCTAGAAAACTATACTGTGAGACTGTGTTCATAGAGGATTTTAGGCAACGTTGTAACCATTTAAAAAACTTGATTTGTGGGAGTGACCGAATTACCATTTTAGAATGATCCTAGTGGCAACCCAGGGGAAATGGGGAATCAGGCTTTGCACTCCTACTGGAGTTTTGAGCAGATTCCATCAATATTGATGGCAACTGCAAGAGAATGATAGAGGTCTCTCATTCTTTTGTTCAGTTCTTCATAGCTCCAAGGGAGTGGCTTTGTCTGCTGATCTGAAGGCTGCGAGGTTGAGGAGCCAGCAGGTGGTTTTGTGGGGCTAGGAACGGTTGTGAATTGCGCTGGGTGGCGCCTCTGGTAGTGAGGTTCTGGGATCCTTAGGGTCACAAAGTGAACTCCAGGTAGCTGCAGGTTGTGAGGCTGTGGACGTGTCCAAGAAGGCAGGCGATGCTTCAGACAGGGTTAGGTCTATAGAAGGCTTCTGAATGTCAGTCCCGTTTGTAGGAGGTAGGGGCTGGGGATTTAGCTCAGCGGCACAGCGCCTGCCTGGCAAGCGTGAGGTTGTGAGATCAATTCCTGGTACCTGAAGAAAAAAAAAAAAAGTTTTGTAGGAGGTAAAGTCCCAGTATTCTTAAAACATCATCACACCACTGATACCTGTACACACTCCACTAATAGCTTGTAAACAATTTCATTTCCTGGTAGTTGCTGTATTCAGGGTCTGAGTTTTGTATTTTGCTCTTCCAGGCCTACATGCAGGTAATGCAGATGTTCTTTTTTTTTTTTTTTTTTTTTTTTTTTTTTTTTTTTTTTTTTTTTTTTTTTTTTTTTTTTTTTTTTTTTTGGTTTTTCTCCGGTACCGGGAACCGAACTCACGACCTTGCGCTTGCCAGGCAGGCGCTTTTGCCGCTGAGCTAAATCCCCAGCCCCAATGCAGATGTTCTTATCACAGAGCCACATGCGCACCCCTTTACCTCTTGGGCTTTCATTTTTGTTTTCATGGGCTCCAGGGACAGCTGACCCAGTTTGCAGTTCTTTGTAGCTCCTCATGGCCTGTATTTTTTCTTTTGGTATTGGGACTCGAACTCAGGACCTCGTGCTCGTCAGGCAGGTGCTGTGCCTCTGAGCTACATCCCCGACCCCTTCATGGGCTAGTTTGGAAGGCCGTTTCCGTAATGGTCAGGATCCACTCATCTTGCCAGTAGATGCCAGTAGATTACTGTAAATGTAATTCTTGGTTAAGGTAAAATAGGGGTTGGATAAAACATCAAAGAGCACAACTTGCTTAAGAGGAAATAGTTTTGATGAAATGGGAGTAAAATTGGTGGCTTATGAAAAAATAGATTTCACTCGCCTTTCACATGGAAGACCACACCAAGCTCTCGCAGCTGCCTACGCGTCCGCCTGAGTACCTAGCACCCAGTGATTGCCCACCTGGGTGAATGAACCGGCAAGCTCCCTCGGTGAGACTCCCACCCACCGCCGTCGCCATGCGCGGCCACGCGCCCGTTCCCACAGCGCACCCCGCCGCGCCGCGGGCGGCGCTTATTGGACCGCCGGGCCCCGCCAGCGCGAGGGATCTGGGCCTCCGCGCTGCACGTGCGATGACGCCAGCCAATCGCAGCCGAGTCCCGCTGGCCCTCACTACCCTAAGCGGCGGGGCGGGCCGCGCGGAGGCGTCACGCGCTCCATGGTAACGACGCTCGGCCAAGATGGCCGCCGGGCGCGAGCGGGGCGGAGGAGCGGGTCCCGTGGGCTCAGGCTCGGGCCGCGCCCGCCGGCGCCGCAGCGGATCGCTGTGGGTTCCGGGCGTCTTGCTCCTGCTGGGCGGGTTCCCGGCCGGCGCCGCGTCCGCCTCCGTCTCCGTGGGCAGCTCGCCGCTCTGCAGGCACCACGTCCCCTCTGTCGGCGAGGTAGGGCGGTGCGGGCCGGGAGGTCAAGTGGCGCGGGAGTGATGGAGAGGGGCCTGGAGGGGAAGCGCCCTCGGGCGGAGGCCGAGCCCCTAGGGGGTGGGACCAGCCGTGGGCGCCCGGCGCCCTGCCCAGGGCCTCCGTTGTCCCCGCGAGGAGGCGGCAGCCCCAGAGCACTGCTTTCCAAACTTGAGCGTGCAGCGAGTCGCCCGTCCGCAGCCGCACTTAGGAAAGCGAAGCCCGCTGCCCTGCGCCCCACCTTGGGGCTCGGGTCTGGCCTGGCCGCAGAGTTGGTGATTCACACCCAGATGGTGGTGCTCGTCCGAGGCACACACTTTGGGAAGCGCTGACCTAACGCTTGGGGGAGGCTTTGATTAGTCGGAGCGCCAGACAAAGGCGCTGGGGGCTAGTTAGCTTCTCTGGAGACAACATTCAGTTTATTTTCAAGTTATTTTAGCACCTCTTTTGCTTTATTCTGCCCTCCCTGTGCTGGAGATTCCTGCCTCCTCCGCTCTGTACGTCTGTCCCGAAACTATTTGAGTTTCACTTTAAGTGCCAGCTCGGAGGCAGCCTGCGAAGACCCCCGCCCCCGCTTTCTCCACTGCACGGTATGGCTTCTCCGTCCTCTCTCCTGGCGCTCCAGCGAGCCCCGGCTTCTTGTTCAGGCGCGTCTTGCTGCTGTCCTTAAGTTGTAAGGTTACTTGGGACAAGGTGTGCGTTTCACACTTTGATTCCTTTGCGATTGTTAGCTCAGAGGTAGGTTCACAGTAATCTCTTCTTCCATAAAAGGAAGGACCAGACCCAAAGCAGAGCTGCATATTGTGAGCGGCTTTATAATTGGTCTCACTGCGTTATCAAGTAAGATCCATGTGGAAATTTTCAGTTCAGCCCAAGCGTCTAAATGCACTCATTTCTGTGGTAGTTTCCAGAAATGCTATCTACATCCTATTCATAACTATGTGAGCCAAAAGATTAAGTGTGAGGTTTGTGCTTGTATTGTGTCCTTTATCATGACACTGCATTTTCTTTTTTTTTTAGTTTAGTTTTGTTTTTTTTGAGACAGGGTTTCACTGTGCAGTTCAGTTCAGGCTGGCCTTGAAACTCACTTTGTAGCCCAGACTGGCTTCACACTTGCAGTGATCCTCGCACCTCAGCCTCCTGAGGGCTGAGAATACTGGCATGTGCCATCACACTTATCTGGCACTGCATTTTTGCTGAATTCTTTAAAAAAAGTAAAAAGTCCTCCAAAACCCTGCATTTTTGTTTTTAAGACTGGGTGGCTGTGTAGTCCAGGCTGGCCCTGAACTCTGCGTGATCCTCCTGCCTCAGCCTCCAGGAGTGCTGGACTACAGGCGTGCCCCACTCCCTGCATTTCTTTGTATTTAGATTAAAATAGGAGAAAGCAGGCCTGGCCACTCCCTGCATTTCTTTGTATTTAGATTAAAATAGGAAAAAGCAGTTCAAACATCTGCAAAATCTTTACATGCTTTAGTGCCGTGCCAGAAGATATATAGAGGGCCAGTCATGCAGGCGATAAAACAGTTTACCATCAGAGCCTGGCATTGTGGTGCAGAACTGTGATCCCAGCACTCTGGAGGCTGAGGCAGGAGGATCACTGCAAGTTCAAGGTCAGCCTGGGCTACATGGTGAGTTCAAGACCAACCTGGACTACGTAATGAGACTTTGTTTCAATAAAATAGACAAACAAAAAATTAAGAATTTACCAACAGACAAGGAATACAGTATAGGAAAGCCAAGAGTTTATTTAGGCTGCAGGGCCAGCTGTCAAGAGAGACAGTGGGCCAGTTTCCGAGAGGGATCTCCAGGTCAGGGTGAGAGACTGGGTTTTATAAGGCACTGAACCTGTGGGTGGGGTCTGCGGATGTAGGGAAGGGTTGGCAGATGTCTTAGCAAGCGGTTTTCCAGGGCGTCCTGTCTTATTAGTCTTCCCGGATGCCTGGACCCTCACTGAAGTTGTACATCACAATTACAAATTGTCAAGGCCTCTTGCTTCGGCCTTAGAAGGGCTCTTCAGGTTTAGATGAGGCTGTGTGTATGTTTTACCCTTTTTGGGAAAGATACAGCGTTAACGTAGGGGAGGAAAAGGTGGTTTTTGTATCTCCTTCCATCCTGTGCTGCTGCTTTCATCCTCCTAGTGTGGTTAGTGACCATCCCCCACATTCTGGCCGGAGTGTGTCAGATAAGAAGCTTAGATGCTGAGAATTTTACCCTTTTGCTACCACATCTAGTAGCTGTTTACTTCCGGTAGCCTCTGTGTTTTGGAGATGACCATTGTGAAAATTCTTTTTATGAAGCTGAAAAATTCCTGATACTTCCACTCCCCTTACCTCTTTGTGCCTCTTGGCTGAACCAGCTTAGTAGTGATAGTACTTAAGATATTAAAGGCAAGCTGTTTAAAATTCTGCAGGGTTCTCCCTAATCTGTTTCCCTAGTCCTGCATAGAATCTTTGGTAACAAGTTGTTCGCACCGTGCTCCTTGCTTTAGCCTGGACAGGGCATAGTGAGAACTATTACACACATGCTGGTGGCTGCAGCCCTGTTAGATGCTACAGGAAATTACTGTAAATATTTTTTCTTCTTTTCTTGTGATGGTTGGTGGTAAAATACAAAACACTGACTTATTTTACTTGTTCTGAACTAAAAGTTAAAGTTCTTTTTTTTATTATATCACATTTTTATTATATCACATAAATCAAAACAAAACCAGAATAGTATGATGAACTGGATGGACCCCTCACCTAACTGTAATACCTCCCAACATTCTGACATTTTTTTGTTGTTGTATTCTTGCTGTTTTTGAGACAGGGTCTCATTATGTAGCCCAGGTTGACCCTCCTGCTTCAGCCTCTCAAGTGCTGGGATTCTAGGTGCCCACTACCATGCCTGGCTCATTTTGATATTCTTGTTCCACATACTTCCAGTCGATCCCATCTTCCCACTTGATTTATTGTTCTTTTTTTAATTTTTTTTTTTTTTTTAGTAAAATGTCTGCTGAAATATCATGAGTGTGTCTATGTTCGTGCAGGTAAAACCAACAATCCTATCACAATATAGTTTTCCATCTCCTCAGAAAGTCCCCTCCTGACCTATTATTATAGACAGCTAAATTGTATTCCCCCCCCCCTCCGGTACCGCGAATCAAACTCACAACCTTGCACTTGCCAGGCAGGCGCTGTGCCATTGAGCTAAATCCCCAGCCCCATAGACAGCTAAATTGTAAATAATACAGTTAGACACGGCTGGGCCCACAGCACAGAAGACATGGTCAGAAGCACAGTCACTGAAGGCCAGGTTTCAAGAAAAAAAGGAACCATCCAAATGCTTCGTAGGGATTAATGGCAGTGATTGATATTCTAAGTAGGCATCAGTCACCTTGGGTGGGGGACCAAAAACCTCCCTAGCCCATTCTTTCCCGGAAAACCCTTGTTCCTTCCTTGTATGCTTGCTGTGTGACTTGCTTCCCCATTTGATGCCCACTTAATCAATATTACCTAAGCGGCTACACTTGTAACCTTATTGGTTCACCATACCTTTGTCCTACCTCACACCTACCTTGTGATTTCCCATTGGGTCAGTATTACCTAAGTGGCTATGCTTGTAATCTTGTTAGTTGACTAGTTGTGTCCCATCTTAAACCTGCCTCACCTCATGGCTTTGCTCAGTAAGCCCCCTTGAGAAGAGAGTCTGTGGGTAGCCCGCTTTCCAAGCTCCCTTTCTGTCTTTAGAAGCTTTCTTCTAAAGCTTAACCTCCATTGTTCCTAGAATTCATTATTTTATTTTATTTATTTACTTATTTTTTGTTTTTTTGAGACAGGGTCTTGCTATGCAGTTCAGGCTGGCCTTGAGCTCACTTTGTAGCCCAGGCTGGCCTCGAACTCACAATGATCCTCGTACCTCAGCCTCCTAAGTACTGGGATTATAGGCCTGTGCCATCACACCCAGCCCATTTCTTGATTTTAGAGAATATAACGTTGGTGTTCTGGACTTCTAGCAGGTTGGGAGTTATATTTCTTTTGTATTATTTGGAAGGCCATATATCATCCCTATACCATCTGTCCTACATCATTTGGAGATCCCACCAAGATAATTGGATGAAAATAAATTTGCTTTTGTTTCCTTGATTCTATATTATGACTCAGTCAAAATTTTTATACTTTACATTTTATTTTACTGTCTTTGTCAATTGCTTAGTGTTTTGTTAAAATGATGGTAAGGTTAAGTTGAGAACATAGGAAGGTTATGTTCTTCTTTAATGGAACCTTTTGTTCCTGTTTTATATATGTTGTATTTGGAGTTAGTTGCTGAATTTACTAGTATTCTTTGGCTGTTGTAGTTTGTTATCGCAGGCAACAGCACTAAGGAAAAATAGTGTTAGAGCGCCCCCTACTGGACTGTAGTGTGAAATGCTGTAAAATGGTCTTTCTGAAAAGAGAAATCTAATCTATATTTAGCTCAGGCTTTTATCCTTTATAGAACTTTAACAAACAGTGGTCACTCTGCCCGCTAGTGAAAGGCTCTTAGAGCAGCCACCATACTCTTAAAAGGAGAGGACAGGTTGTTCGGCACCCTCTAGTGAATCCCCATTGAACCCAATGGCCAATGGACTGTTGACCAGACAGGCAACTGGATTCCTTTCTGGAGACTGATCTCTGGTTGTGGGGACCAAGGGAAACTGAGAGGACAACTGTGTGGGGTCCTGGCCAGGGCTGCTCTCTGCAGAACCCGAAGGTCCCTCCTCAGTGGAATTTCGAGTCCCAACAACCTGACAGGGCAGCCAGCAGAAAAGTCTCGTTGGCTGTTCTTCCCTCTTGCACTCCTCAGTGAGGTGAGAGGTAACTTTCTTGGGTCTTCTGGTATCCTGTGTCCCAGAGTGACCAGAGACGATGCTGTTAGCGCCCTTTCTAAAAGTTGAGAGTTGAGCTATAGGTTTGGACTTCTCTCTGCTAGTAAGTTAGAAACGCCAGTTTTTCTCCAAGTTGCTG